TGGTGTTTTTGAGATGGAGTCTTCCCTGTATAGTTCAGGTTAGTCTTGAACTCCCATAGTGAGTTGGTGACTGAGGCTGGGCTCAAACTAGCACCAGTCCCACGTCCCCCTTCTGTGTATTGGGTGTGCACCTCCACACCTTGCATAATTTACAGTCTTAATCAGCGCAGTCCAGTAGAAATTTAATCGAGCCATAAATTTGTCAGTTACGTGTGTAATTTAAATTTATTATAAGCTAGGGGTGTGGCTCAGTGGCAGAGAGGTTTGCCTGACACATACACCAGGCACTAGTCAAGTTTGACCCGCCGCACCACACACACAAATTAAATTAGTTGTATTAGTTGTATTTAAAAAGGGAAAAAGAAGCAGATGGTATTAATTTTAATGATATGGTTTGGTTGCATTTAGATTGGTTTTTTGAGACAGAATCTCACTGTGTAGTCCAGGCTGGCCTTGAACTCAGTATGTAGCCCAGCCTGGCTTCAAACTCACAGTGATTCTCTTGCCTCAGCCTCCCAAGCCACTGGACTCAACAGGTGTGCACCATACCTAGTGTTTTAGTTAACTCAGTATGCCCAAACTATCATTTCAACATGTGATGTGATCAATATAAAAAGTGAAAGAGCTTTTGCAATGTTTTTTACCTGCTGTGTTTTTGAAATCTAGTGTGTATTTTACACCTCAAATGGAACTGTTTTGAGGACTCAACAGTCGTACGTTGCCAGTGGCTACTGCATCAGCATGTGCCGTGCTAGGTGGGGAGGTGGAAGAGAAATCAAATGGATTCCACCTCAAATGGTGAATTGGTAAGAAGCAAAGTAAATGAGGGATCCCTTCCTTTCAAAGTAAAGACTGAGAAGATGGCATTTGCCGAAGTACTCTCATCATTTAGCGCTGTCCAAGGTAAGTTTTCTGGGCCATGGGCATATTCTGTACCAGCATCATCCCGTTCAGTAGCCTCTAGCTCTGTTGCTTTCGGGCTCTTGACGTGTGGCTAAAGAACTGAAGTTTTAGTTGTATTAATTTTTCATTAATTTTCCTGGATGTGGTGGTGCATGTATGTGATCCCAGCCCTCAGGAGGCCAAGGCAGGAGGATCTCCAAGAGTTTGAGGCTACCTTGGGCTACATAGTGAGTTCAAGACCAGCCTGAACTACATAGGAGACCCTGTCTCAAAAAAAAAAACAACCCTCAAAATTGCTATAATTTTTTTTTGGGGGGGGTCTTTCTTGAGATATAGGGTCTCACTATGTACTTCAGGCTAGCCTTGAACTCACTTTGTAACCCAGGTTGGCCTTGAACTCACAGCAGTCCTCCTACCTCAGCCTGCTGAGGGCTGGGATTACAGGCGTGCACCACCATGCCTGGCTTTTTAATTATTTAAATCATCACATAGGGCTAGCTGGCAGTTCTTTTTTTTTGGTTTTTCTCCGGTACCGGGAACTGAACTCACGACCTTGCGCTTGCCAGGCAGGTGCTTTGCTGCTGAGCTAAATCCCCAGCTCCTAGCTGGCAGTTCTTATGTTAGATGGTAGCAGGTGCTGTGAATTGAGCATGTATTTCTTCCTCAGTGCTTTGTATACTTTGCCAGGTGAAATTGTAGAAATAACCTTCTAAGAAATGGAGCTACAGTGGTTGTCACCAAGTCCTTAACCAGACGTGGTGGTGTACACCTGTGGCCCTGGACTTTGGGAGGCTGAGGCAGGAGGATTACTGCAAGTTCAAGGCCAGCCTGGGCTACATAGTGAGTCTCAAAAAGATCAACCTGGGCAACATAGTGAGACCCCATCTCAAAGAAAAGAAAGCAAAACAAAAATGACAAGACGAAGTTCTTCATCTGTACTCTTTGGTTTTAGTGGTACAGGGAACTGAGCTACATCTCCAGCCCTTTTCTTTATTTTTATTTTGAGAGGGGGTCTTACTGTATTACCCAGGCTCACTTGAATTTGTGATCCTCCCATGTCAGCCTTCTAAGAACCTGGGATTACAGGCACGTACCATCACACCTGGCTCACTCATCAATGTTCTTGATAATAGATTTTATATTTTAGAACAGTTTTACACTTATAGGAATATTGCAAAGATAGTAATTAGTTACCATTATTCTCCATACTTGGTTTCCTATATCAGTAATTTTTTTTATTAACATAATACATTTGTCATAATTAATAGGCCAGCCGAGCATAGTGGGGTACACCTAAAATCCCAGCACTCAGGAAGCTGAAGCAAGAGAATTCTCTGCAAGTTCAGGGCCAGCCTAAACTACATAGTAAGACCCTGTGTCCCCCCGCAAAAAATAGCAAAACAAACAAAATCAAGATCTAGGCTCCCAGAGTACTAGTTGCTAAGGGGTGTTGTTACTTTTAGATCATCAGTACTTTTTATTTATTTATTTATTTATTTGGTATTGGGGATTAAACCCAGGGTTTTGCATGGAGCTACATCTCCAGCCCTTTTCTTTATTTTTAAATTTTTTGGTACCGGGAATTGAACTCAGGTCCTTGTGCTTGTCAGGCAAGCGCTTGTGCCACTGAGTTATATGCCCGGCCCTCTTTATTTTTTATTTTGAAATAGGGTCTCATAAAGTTGCCTGGGCTGAACTCACATTTACAATCCTCCTGCCTCAGCCTCCTGAGTAGCTGGGATTATAGGCGTGTACCCCCACACCTGGCCATCAATACCTTTTGACCACCCACAATGCATGAGGTGCGGGCACTCACCTCCGGGGACACACAGGTGACCAGCCGGCTGTGCCATCTGCCTGCAGGGAACCCAGAGGCAGCTCCGTGGGGACAGGTCTGCGGGGGCAGCTCCGAGGTATGCAGCCTGGGTAGGTTACTTCATGTCTCTGAGCTTCAGCCTCTGCTTTGTAGTGCGGGGGTGATTATAATACTTCCTGAGGGCACTGTGAGAATTAAATGAAATAACCTACTTTTAGAAACTCTGGAACAGAGCCTGACCAAAAAAAAAAGTGCTTATTACATCTTTCTTTCTCCCCCTCTCTCTCTTTTTTTTGTGGTGCTGAGGATGGAACTCGGGCCCTGCAGAGGCCAGGCAAGCTGAGCTGCCGAGCTACATCCGGCCCTGCGTCTTATCCTTACTACTGCTAACGATGAGGCTCGCAAACGACTTCCGTCTCCAGAGGCTCCGTCCCGAAAAGTATGTGGTGGGAAGTCGTGAGTGCTTTTGAGGTGGCCAGGGAGGGCTTGCCACGTTGCCCATGTTGCCACTGAGGATATTTCAGGCAGAACGCCCTTGGATTCCCAACCGCTCGGGAGGCTGAGGCAGGAGGATGGCAAGTTCGGAAGTCAGCCTGGGCACCTTAGTGAGACCCTGTGTATCTGTTGCCTTTGCGGGGCTGGGGGTGGGGGGCGGTCACAGAATGCCTGATACACACAGCTCAGAGGAGAAAAGTTTGGTTTGGGGTCACAGTTGCCGAAGTTTCAGCCCATGGTCAGAAGTGCGTAGCTGAGGAGAACTCAACTCACCACGGACAGAAGAGGGTTCGAAAGGGACAGAGGGAGAGGAAGGGAACGGAAACAAGAATGCGGCCTTCTAGGTTCCGCCTCTGGGAACCTGCTTCCCCCAGCCAGGCCCCGCCTCTCACCGTGCCTTCAGCTGCGAATTCGTCAGTGGGTGATGTCAGAGCCTCTGTGGTCCAGGCACTGTCCAGAAGCCTCACCCCTGGGCTGGGGAGATAGCTCAGCAGTGTAAATGGCCTGCCTGGCAAGAGCAAGGTCCAGAGTTCAATTCCCGGTACAAAAAGAAAAGAAAACAAAACAGAAGCCTCACCCTGGACATGTGAGCCTTTCGGGTGAGATTTTTTTTGATCCAAACCCTGACACCTTACCAAGGCCTTGGATTCCATCCCAGCTCCACAAAAGCTCAATAAAGCAAGTGCAAAGGTCCTGAGGCAGGCAGGACGTGTCACAATCAGGGACTGAGGAGAGGCCACCTGTGGAGGAGACATGGGCCACAGAGCCCCCTCCTGGGCCCGGCAGGGTCAGGTCACACAAGGCCTTGTTGGTCCTGAGGCCACGGGAAGTGCCTTTGTCTAGTGTTGAGGCCTAGAAGGACAGCAGTGATCTGAACTCAGGTCTCTTCACTAGAGAAGGGAACTTGTTTCCGCTTTGTCCCGGGTCCGAAGCATGGTTTCGGCCCTCGGGTAGGAACCGGAGTCCTTTCTGGGTGAAGTTGCCCCAGGTTGCTCTTACTATCCCTGCACATCCCGGTCGCCTCTCTGAGCCCAAACTGTCAAGGGGCCACAAGACCCGGAGACACAGGTGACTGGAGTTGGGCCCTGCTCTTGAGGACGTGGTGGCCCTGAGTGAGGGACGGGCCCCGGGGCTCAGGGACCCAGCGTTGATGGGGCTGGCACAGATCGGTCTCACCCGGCATGGTGAGGGAGGGTCTGCCAGGGGGAGGGGTCCCAGCAAAGCAAGGGCACAGACTTGGCCAGGAGGACCATGAGAGCCGCAGGGGAGAGGGCAGTGAGCAGGGTCTGTCCTCAGCCTTGAAGTCCTGAGTCAAGAAGAGCAGCTGGCGTGCGACCCCAGAATGCAGATCCTGGCATCCTTAGCATTTCCAGGCCGCAGCCAGCCACTCCTCCGCCCGTCACCCGTGGCTGCTGCAGAGCCACGCAGGCGGAGACCGGCAGGCTTCGTGGACAGCAGACCGCACACACCCACGGCCTCGTCCCTCAGTCATCACGCTTGTGTTCTGAGACAGGGCCGGCGGACTCAGGCTGGCCTTAGACTCACGGTGCAGCCCAGGCTGGCCTCAAACTTGTGATCCTCCTGCCTCGGCCTCCTACATAGGAGGATTACAGCTGTGCGCCACCACGCCTGGCCCGCAGTGGTCTAACTTTATAAGAGCGCGGCAGGAGGGTCAGTGTCAGAGACCAGAAGGTGCCGTGCTGTTGGCCATGAGGGAGCCGGCCCCTCTGGAAGCTGGAAGGGCAGGAGACAGAGTCCCTCCGAGCCTCCAGGACAGACTAAGCTTGCCAGCGTCTTGATTTTATTCTGGTGAAACTTACTTCAGACTTCTGACATGTAGGGCCGTGGGAGAACTATGAGGCGTTTTAAGCCACCTAGGGTGTAGTATTGATTTTTTGTTTGTTTATTTGTTTTGTTTTTGTGGTACTGAATTGAACTCACGACCTCACGCTTGCCAGGCAGGTGCTGTGCTGCTGAGCTACATGCCAGCCCCAGGGTTGGAGTATTGATTACCGCAGCCACAGGGACGGAGTGACGGGCAGCCAGCATGGAAAAGAAGGTGCTAAGTCACCCAGGCTGGGCTTGAGCTTGCATCCTCCCGCTTCAGCCTCGCAGAGTGTTGGGAAGACAGGCAGGTGCTGCCGTGCCCAGCAGGATTTAGCTTGTAGCTGAGAGAATTTGAAAATGAGATATCGCGTAGTTTTGTCTTTATTTGAAGAGAGGGAAGTGCAGCCTGAGGAGGAGGGGAGGAGGCAGCTTCCGGACGAGGCGGAGGGCTGCGGGGTGCGGAGAGCCGGTGGACTGTACAGATTTAGGAGGTTGGGTGAGCAGGTCAGGAGATGAGGTGAGCAGGTCAGGAGCAGGTCTGCATCAGGAGACACGGAGGCGGGGGAGGCCCTGCAGAGGGTGACCATCGCCAGGCCCGTCACTGCTCAGCCCCCCAGCAGCAGACTGCCGTTCTGAGAACAGAAGGCCAGGCAGGTTTCAGCAAGGCCGAGACACCTTTAAGAAGACCCAATCCTGCCAGCGCGGTGGAGCACGCCTGTCAGCCCTGCACTTGGGAGGCTGAGGCAGGAGGATCACAAGTTCAAGCCTAGCCCGGGCAACTCTGACTTGGCGAGATCCTGCCTGAAAATGAAAAGGACGGGGATGTAGCTCCGTGTGAAGGCCCTGGGTTCCACCCCCAGTACCACAAAAACAAGAAGGCTCAGGACCTTTGGGTGCCCAAGCTCACCAGCACAAGGGCTGAGTAGGTGAGTCTCAGAGCAGGATGAGAAGCGTTATGTTTTTTCCCTAGGCGGCTGAGGTCACAGGCAGAGGACAGAGGGTTCAGGGTTCCGAGTCCGACCCAGGGGGCTGGCCCTGGGGCGAGCACGGCAACATCGCCTCCCCTACAGGCACTGCTGTACCCCTGAGTTCCCTCCTCCAAGCCTCAGGCTGCTTCTCTGTGAAAGCCAGGTGCGGTGCTGCCTGCCTGTCTTCTGGCATTCCAGGAGGCTGAGGCAGGAGGATCACAAGTGTGAGCTCAGCCTGGGCAACTTAGCAAGACTGTCTTCACATAAACGGAAAAAAGGCTGGGAATGTAGCTCAGTGTGAAGGCCCGGGTTTATCCCAGGACCGCACAAAAGAAGGAAAAAGAAAAGCAGGTGGTATCACCACCTTGGGAACCCACAGAGGCAACGCTGGACAGAGCCCTGGCGCGTAGGTGCCTAGAGTTGTGGCTCTAAGATAAATGCGGGTCACTGGCCTCCGCCAGCGGGGGAGGTTTGGTTTTCTAGAGTCCACATCCTGCCCCCGACCTGTGACACTCCGCCGCTGTAGTGTCTTTCCGAGCACTTTATCCTCTAGGGTCAGGGAGTGGCCTGGGCTGCCCTGCTGCCCCCTAGCAGTGCTGACGGTGACCTCACTCCCCCACATCCCATGGCCAAGCAGCCATCAATCAGTAAATCACGCCGTCACTTTCCCATTTCCGGAAGGACTCGTTGGGTAGGAGCTGCTCCACTTTCTGGTCTAAGGTTTCTGGTTTTCTGTATCCAGCTTTTCACGCCGTGAGCTCTGTCCTGCTGTCTCAGCATGTTCCGGGTGAAGTCCTTGGGCTTTCACAGCACTCGTCTGGGTTTTTCACTGAGAAGTCGGGGTTCCTAGCCTGGATCCCCCACACTCTGCTTCCTGGCTGCCATGGGGTAAGCGGCTCTGCCCGCCGGGCCCTCCCACTGTGGTGTCTGCCTTGGAGACGGCCAGCCATGGACTGAACCCTCGGAAAGCCGCGGGCCTCCTTAAACCTCTCCTCCTTCAGCTGCAGATGCAGGACGTTTTGTCCCAGCGGCCAGGAAGTGCCTAAGATGGAAAACAAGGGCCTCGTACACTTTATATAAATGGAATCTTGTAATATGTGGCGTCTTGCGAAGGGCTTCTTCCACTGAGCATAATGTCCTCATTACTTTTTCCTGTGCCAGTACTTCATTACTTGGTGTGTGTGTGTGTGTGTGTGTGTGTGTGTGTGTGTGTGTTGCTAGGGATTGAACCCAGGGCATTTGTGCCAAGTTACATCCTCAGACCCCTTTTCTTTTCTTTTTTTTTTTTTTTTTTTGAGACAAGATCTCACTAACTTGCTAAGTTGCCCAGACTTGCAATCCTCCTGCTTCAGCCTCCCAACATGTTGGGATCCTTTTTATGGCTGCATACTGTTCCACTGTGTGGATGGAATGTGCTGTGTGTACCCCTTTATCCATCGCTGGACACTTGGGCTATTTCCATCTGCTGGCCGTTGGGAATAGTGCTGCTGGGAATGTTCCTGTTCCCCTCTCTGTGTGGGGTGTATGTGTTCCCCTCTCTGGGGCATTTACCAGGGAGCAGTGAGGATGGTGGGTCATGGCACGCTGTTACACTTTGAGGACATGCCAGACTTTTTTCCCAGTCTTCTTCCCCCTAGCACTGGGGAGTGAACCCAGGGCCTTTGCACAGAGCCGCATCTCTAGCCATTTTTCCTATTTTTATTTCGAGACTGACTCTCACTGAGTCGCCCTTGCTGAGCTTGGGTGATCTTGATAAAAGATCTGGTGATCTTTATAAATGAGATGGCTTCTCCCTCATTAGTCACTGGCAGGCAGTCGGTTTATCATTTCAGTTCCTCCAGCTTAGGCTGCACGTGTAGCTCAGTGGTGCAGTGCTTGCTTAGCATGTGCAAGGCCTGGAGTTCAATCCCCAGCACCACCAAAAAAACAAAAAACCTCCCGCAGCCTTGCTCCTTTTCCGGCGACCCTGGGAAGCCACCAGGGGCCCACAGAGAGCCTGCTTCGAGGGGCCCCACACTCCAAGAGCGGCTGTGCAGGAGTCCTGGGAGTTCAGGCCCGGCCACCCGGCCAGTTCACACGCTCAGCGCTTCGCAGGACCCGCTCCACATGAGGGCCGCAAACACGCAGCCTGCAGCGCTTCCCGGAGCCACGGCACACGAGGTCTGGAGGTCTGCACACAAAGAAAAGTGGATCGGCACCAGCAAAGCCAGATGTTACCAATCCACGGAGGGCGTGCACATTGATAAGAGGCAGGGGACCAAAGGGCAGAGACAGAAGCATGGGGTGGAGTCAGCCGCTAGAGCTGGGTCCGGCAGGCGGCCAGAGCTGATGGCAGTCCCGCCGGGACCCCCGCGCTTGCTTGTGGGATCGTATTGTGGACATTTACCCAGCAGATAGTCGTGGGGCTTGGGGTCTGACCCTGCGGCTCTCACTGGGCAGGAGGGTGTTGGTCACCGTCTATAATTTGCCTGTCGGGCTGGGGGTGTAGCTCAGTGGGAGAGCACTCACCTAGCATGTGTGGGGCCCAGGGTTCACTTCCCAGTGCCGCAGAAGGAAAAAAACCAAGTTGGAGAGTAGCTAAAAGCCCAGCAGGCTGGCTCACCTGGTGAACCAGAAATCCACTCGAAATTACAGCTAGGCCCGCAACCATGTGGAATATTAGTGGCCAGGCCCCCGCCGAGCCCTCGTGGTAAGCCTGTGGCGTGGCTTCTGTTTGCCCCATTTTCTAAGACCTTAAAGATCATGTGAGTAGCCCGAGGTCACAACACACACACACACACACACACCCACCCACCCTTGGGAGAGGGCTCAGAAGGGGCAGGGGTGGGGCTGGCAGACCCCGAAAGTTGTGCATGGAAGCTGGATGTCTCCACTGACCTAAGTGCACGGGGCCCCAAATTGCGCCTCAACCTTGGCAGGTGCGGGGGACAGCGGAAGAAGGAAGGGGCGGAGCGGGAGCGGGGCTCCAACTGCAGGGGAGAAAGGAAGCGGCCGAAGGAGCTGGTCGCGGTGGGCTGCTCGCGAAGGGGAGGGCGGGAAGGCCCGGCCGGTGCGAGGCAGTGCGTTCACCGTGGCACACGGGGGTCATTTCCACTCTCCAGTGTCCGAGCTTGGGTGCCTGGGGCCTGGCAAGCAGGGGCAGCTTCGGTGGTGCGACGCAGCGGTGGTTTGCGGGGCACATAGGACAGGAAAGACCAGGGGCGGGCAGTGGGGAAGAGAGGCTTCATCATCATCTTTGGCATCTATTAGGCACCATCCATTAGGCACCCGATGCCCCTCTGCGTCACCCGTGTGCACCCTGGATGAGCACATGGCATCACTACAGCCCACAGGATCTCACCCGGGGAACGCAGGTGGCTCTTGTCACGTGCAGTCGCTTCTGGGTCTTCCACAGGTCGAGGCAATGGAATTCTGGGGTTTAGACACCACGTGACAGTTAATCTGGATTGGGTTGAGAAATGCCTAGGAAATCTATGAGGCACAAACCGCACTCCTGCCCTGTCTGTGAGGGCGTGTCCAGAGCTGATTGGCAGATGGGACAGCCAACTGAGAAGGGGCTCACCCCAAGTGTGTGTGGCACCATCCAATGGGGTGGAGGCCAGTATGTAACAAAAGCGGGAGGAGGAAGCCTAGCGCCTGCTGCTTCCTGATTTTGCTTTCTGACTGCCAGCAAGTCGTCAGCTTTCCTGCACTGTGCCTCTCTGCCAGGGTGCTCCAGCCTTGGCCCAGGCCTGAAAGAAAGGGAGCCAGCCAGCCAGCCATGGCCTGCAGCCGTGAGCCAAAATAACCCTTTCCTCCTCTAAATTGTTTTCTCAGGTGTATTTTGTGATGGCATCAGAGGGCTGACTGATGCACACCCCCTTCTCTGGTGGGTGGAAGCCTGGATGTAACAAAAGAGAAGCCAAGCCTGGTGGCACACACCAGTAATCCCAGCACTCAGGAGGCTGAGGCAGGAGGGTGGCCAGCAGTTCAAGGCCAGCCTGAGCTACATAGTGAGGCCCTGTTTCAAAAATAAGCAACAGACTCAAACAGAAAAGAACAAATGGGCAGCCCTTACTAGAGGCTGACACTGGGATATATTAAATCCCCAGGGAACTGAGGCCATGGTTTGAAACAACCCCGTGGGCTCGTCTGGGTCAGGCCTCCCAGGCTGCTTCCAACATGGGTGGGACAGGCACCGCCCGCCCCTGCTTCAGCCGGAGGAGGACCTGTCCAACTCCAGGGGGCGGCAGTTGTGGAGGGGAACAGTGACGTTTGTCCTGCAGGGGAAAGAGCAGTCAGGAGCTGGAGAACAAGGCGGGAGTACAGAGGGGGACCCTTCTCCTCCTCCTCCACCATGGCCTCTGCCACAGGTCCCGCTGCCCTCTGACCAGCGCCTGCAAATAAACCAGCGTAGGCCCGTGCACCCATGACCAGCACAGCCCAGGGGCTCCCCGGGGACATCACCCCTGACCTAGCCACCTCTCCCAGTGCAGCCAAGAGCCTGGGACCCACAGACAGAGCTGGACAGCCTGGGGGTGGGGAGCAAGCGCTGCTGTTCTCGGGTCCCTTTCCTCCCAGGGCCTTCACATTCCAGAGGTAGGGAGCGCTCAGCCCACACAAACGCTCCTGTTCCCCGCAGCTAGGGCCAAGAGGAAGCAGACCTTGCTTTCCTCAAAGGTAGCTGGGGGTTGGGGGAGTGTAGGGATAGAAAGGCCCAGCGTCACCAGGTAGAACCTTCCGGTTACCCATGGAGGAAAATGCCCTTTTGAGACTAGAAGGGCCTTTGTCGGGGGCGTTGGCTAGAAGGTGGCTGCCAGCAGCCAGGCTTTGTGGTGCACACCTGTCATACCAGCATTCCTGCTGCTGAGGGAGGAGGAGCTCTGTGAGTTCAGGGCCAGCCTGGGTTACGTAGTGAGTTCAAGGCCGCCTGAACTGCATAGCGAGACCCTGTCTCAAAAACAGAAAAGGAAGTGTCTGGGCGCAATGTCATTAGCAGGGTGTCAGCCTCCACGCTGCTGACCCTTGGGCTGGATGGCTCTTCGTGTTGGGGGCCGACCTGTCGTGGTGAGACAGCCACCCCCTCAGTCGTGACAGCCACACGTCCTTCCAGGTGTTGCCAGGGTCCCTTGGGAGCCCCAGGTGAGAACTGGTTTGGTTTTTTTTGTCACTGAACATATCTAGGACAGGTATTTAAGGAGCTTGCTGTTTGGCCTTTTGTCTGTCTTTTGTTCATATTTATGTATGTATATATGTATTTATTGGAGACAGGGCCTCACTGTGTAGCCTAGGCTGACTTCAAATTCATGGTGATCCTCCTGCCTCAGCCTCCTGATTCCTGGGATTGCAGGTATGTGCCCCCATACCTGCCTGCCTGCTGTTTGTTTTCCGGTGGAGGAAACAAACCCAGAGCTTCTGACGTGCTAAGCATGAGCTCTACCACTGAGCTACGCCCCCAACCCCGAGCCTGTTTTATCTACCTTGTTTCCTCTACCTAGAATCTTCTCTCCCGGCCAAACCTGCTTTCTTTCACAACTAAACCCACACATCACCTCCGCCCAAGAAGTGTGTGGGGGCCCTGCACTTTAAACTATATAAATAGACTCTGTCTCAAAAACCCAAAAAAAAACACAAAAATGTTACATACGCAGAACCTACCTTCGCTTTGCACAGAAGGCCCGAGGCTACCCACTTACGAAGAGAAATGGTTTGTATAGCCGCACAGCTTTGAAGCCTCGACTTCAACATCAGGTGACCCCCGCTGGTTTGGGCTGCAGTGAGGCCCTGGGTGGTGATAGTGCCCGTGCTTTTGTGCAGGTGGTCACATCTCAAGACAGGAAGTAGAAAGGGACCCGGAGACTGGGCTTCCACAAACCAAATAAATAAGAAAAGAAACTTGAGGGGAAATTAGAAAACATTGTGAATAAAAATGAAAATACAACAACGAAAGTTCTGGGATGCAGCTGAGGCTAGTGCTTGGAGAGAAACTATATATATTTTTAAAAGGTAAAGCTGGGAGAGGAATTGTACACCTGTAATTCCAGCACTCTGAGGCAGGAGGATCACAAGTTCAAGCCCAGCCTAGGCAATTCAACAACTTACCTGGGACACTGTCTCAAATAAAAAATAAAGAAAAGGGCGAGATGTAG